TGGTGCATTTAGTCCATTCACATTCAGGCTAATTATTGAAATATGAGAGTTCGTCCCTATTATAGAGTTCTTATAGAGTTGTTCTTCCACTTGGTTTATTGTCTTTCTTTTGATATGGGGGTTGGTTCATGTGTATTTTATTCTTTTTCCTGTACTCTTGTGAAGAACATTGTTCTTTTTTTCCCCTTTTCTTCTGTGTTTAGTACTTTCTTAAGTGTTTCATGTAGAGGTGGTTTGGTGGCAGCATAAGTTCTGAGGGATTGGATATCTGGGAAAGATTTTAATTCTTCCTCGCTGATGAAGCTTAATCTGGTTGGGTAGGTTATTCTTGGTTGAAACTGTTTATCTTTTAGGACTTTGAAGATAGGGCTCCAAGCTCTCCTAGCCTGAAGGGTTTCTGTTGATAAATCTGCTGCTATTCTAGTTGGTTTTCCTGCTAGGTGATCTGGCCTTTTTCTCTTGCTGCCTTTAGGAGTTTTTCTTTTATGCCTACTTTTTTTAGGCAAATTATTATGTGTCTAGGGGTTGTTCTTCTCATTTGTTGTCTTGCAGGGGTTCTCTGAATCTCTTGTGTTTGAATTTTTGCTTCATTGATTAGATAAGGGAAGTTTTCTTGAATGATCTCATGGAAGGTTTGTTCCAGTGTGGTCTCTGTCTCTCTTCCTACCTCAAGAAGGCCTATTACTCTTAGGTTCGGTCACTTGAAATATGATTCATCTCTTGAAGGTTTTTTTTCTGTCTTTTTGAGCTTGTTTTCTGTGTTTTTGAGAGTTTGGGTTAGTTCTATATTTTGGTCCTCAAGCTCTGAGATTCTTTCTTCTGCTTGGGTAATTCTGCTTTCCATGCTTATCAGTTTGTTATTTATTTCATTCACAGTATTCTTTATTACTGTTATCTCAGATATCAGCTCCTTTCTAGTTTCTTCTTGGGTCGCCTCAATTCTTTTCAATCTCACCATTAATGTCTTGATATCTAGGTTTGTAGTGTGAGACCAATCATTCTGTGGCTTTTCATTGTTTGCATTCTGAAGTCAGTTTTCTCAGTGTCTGCCCTCCCAAGGTTCTAGGAGAGACCCATATTCTTCTTTTGCTTTTTCTTCATTTGTGTAGATTTTTCTCTCATCCCTGGAGCAAAAGGAGGTACAAAAGAGGAAAATAATGGAGGAAGGGAGGGTCAATAGGAAGTTAGAAAGAGAGAAGAGTGAGAGGGAAAACAGACGTACATACCAACTAACAGGTGAAAAAGAGACACAAGGCTCGAGAGAAGTGAAAAAAAACACAGAAGGAAAATTCCCTAAAGAATACTGGTAGGTTCGGAGAGTCTCACAAATCCATCTATGCCGTTGCCATCTTGTGGAATGTCCCCAGGAGGATGCTTTTAATTATCACCAAGCCCTTATTGAAAGTGGCTGCTTCAGGATCTCCATGTATGGCAACCAACTGGGAAGGAGATAGGAAACTGTTCATAAAGCTGAGTTTGCATTGCAAGAGTACTGTTCTTACTTGCTGTATATGTTACAGATCAACCCAAGAAGTAAAGTTTTGTTTTTAAAGATGCTTTTTTTCATCCTTTAGACAAGAATATGACACCAACAATTGCTTATAGCAAAGAATAATATTATTATGTTCATTAGAAGCAAGTTTGGGGAGCTTGATGAAGGTAATGGGGGGAGACTAACATCCCCCACCCTAATTACCTGGGACCACTGCTGCTTTTGGTTGGTTGGTCCTGTAAGTTAACAGCAGACTACCTGCAAATGCAGGCTCATGGATTGCTTCCTCACACTCCAGGTTCACTGAACAGTTTTCACTTATATACAGAAATGCTTCCTGTCACACCAGTCAACATTTTTTTATCCTAAAGCAGGCACCCCTTTTGCCTTGCCTTCTGAAAACCATGCACACACTCTTGCTCTTGTACAAGTACACATGGTCACACAGCTGCCCTGGTTCAGGGGCCATGGGGTGAGAAGTGACAATGTTGGTACCTCAGCCTTTCATCCTGTGGTCAGAGCTGTCCCAGGGCTGACCACAGCACATCCATAGTGCTGGCCTTTGGCTCGTAGTCTCTCTTAGATTTTCCAGCATCACTGTTCTTCTCCCATGATGGTTCAGCAATCCCTGATGGCCTGCTTTGGAGGAGAGGGGGCGTCTAAAAGTGGTACCTAAAGTCTGCAGTGCTCACACCACAGCCTCACAGTAGAATTCCAGATGGTATGTTTTCTGCAATGGTTGAGATTGACATGTTCTCTCACTGTGGAGCCCTAGTAACCTGTTGGTAATGCTGCCTTCATCACAGTGAGGGTTTTTTTTTTTTTTACAAGTTGCTAGAGTAGGACGCTTCCATGGTGATGCTGGCTGGGTCTCTATGGGCAGATACTTGACCATGATGACTTTCTATCTGGTTAGACTGCTTCTGGGCTAGATTGGAGGTCAGAGCCGGACAGATAACATGCCCATCATGAGCAGTCATCACAGTCCACAGTAAATTGAACTTTAATTACCCACAGATGGTCTCCCAGTTCATATGTCTATCAGGCAGGACACAAGTTGTGTAGCTTGACTTTTCAATTCAATCCTACATCCCATCCTTGTCTCTCATGGAGGGTATGGAAGAAAATTAACAGATGTTTATAATATTTCCAGAAGGACAAGGACAGCAGACTCTGTGAATGAAGTGGCCAGGAGTGCGGCATTATGAAACAGTAGCCCCACCATTCCCTGCTGAATACCTTTAGATCTGAATAACTTCAAATCAAATTCATGAAATTAAGTTTATTCAAATCAAATTCATTCAGCTTGTGAATTTGGACACTTCCCTGGGTGCTAATGAGTCTGCATCCAAAGTAGTAAATCTACTTGTATGTTTATATATCCAGGCCTAAAAAAACTAGCTGTTATGCATTCCTCCCACATATGTTTGTTGAGCAGCTAATATTAACATATTAACAGTAGATACATTTATTGAGGCTCTACCATATACTAAACTGTATGTATATATGAAAGCTATATACATTGTGAATAATCTCTCATATATACATATATTTTATCTCTACATGTGTAAAATTCTCTCTTCATATATAATCTTTAAGCCTCATCAACCCTACAATATTGCAGATATTGATATTATCTCTATTTTATTTTATTTATTATTTTTATTTTAAAGATGTGGGGTACAATACAGGATTAGATACATAAGTAGTCATTGTATAGGTAAAGTTTGGGATCATCTCTATTTTAGATATAAGGAAATAGAGGTCCAGGAATGTTAAGTATCTTGCCCAAGGTTCTTCCCATTGATTCACAACTGCATGTTCCTTTTTCTGTTCTGTGCCAGATCAAGAGTCAAACATTGGGTAAACAGGAGCCGGTGGCCCAGCCTTTACCCACTGGGGGCCCACACTCTGTTTGTTACCAAGCTTCCCCAAAAGATCTGATATACTTTAGGTCACATGGTGATTACAGATGTGCTCAGTGGAATCTCTAGGCGGAGATAGGTTCAAGACAGTGCCACATTCTTGTTGTGAAATTTGGGATAGGCTACTTAATCCTTTTAACTCTGTTTTCTCATGTTTGAACTGGGATAACACCTTCCTGGTGGGTTTATTGAGAAGGTGGAAATATATATATGTACACATATATCCATATGTATGTATGTATATCATGTGACAAGAGCTTAAAAAGGGAGAGCGAGCATTATCTGTTCCACCATTATCTGTGTCTTCATAATTGGGACATATAAACTCTATTTAGGTTTTTAAATCACATCCAGAATCTTCCCTTTTTCCATTCTCAATGCAACATTTTCACTAGGTGCTAAATTCACATTGTTCCCAACAGCTATAAAATATGTCTCTGTCACTGGAGGAAAACAGTGTGATCACATAGAGATGCCACTGAGAAGCCAGCCTTTTTAAGCAGTTGACCTCTTGGCTTGTTTTTTTTAGGTGTTTGTGGAAATACCCCACATGAAGAGAAGAATAGAACAGGCAATTCTGGCGTCTTCTCTCCAGACACCTTGAGCAATGGGCACCAGGGAAGTTTATCATCACACACACAAGACCAGGACAGAAATATTGAAGAACTAGAAATGACTGGGGCACAGAACTTAATACCCAGTCTGAGACCTCGGTCATCCCTTCTGCCATTAAAGGTAATCATCCATCCCTTGGGTTTACTTTCTGGAGTTTGGAGGCAAGAGAGCAGGCTGTGGAGTCCAACAGCCCAGCTCTCAAGGCCTTCCTTTCTCTCTATGTGCCATGGCAGGTGGATAGAGATTACTTAACCCCTCTGACCCACAGCTTCCCCAATGGAAATACATGCCTGCACTGCGTGGTCACTGAGAAGAATACAAAAGGGAGAAGGAAGAGTCCTGAATGCAGTGCCTGGTCACAGGTCTCGGTGTTGGTAACACCAGTGTCCTTAGTTACTAATTATAATTGTTATGGTAACAACAACATGAGGAAATTGATTGCTGCCAAGGGCAAGGCGTGGGTAATCAGGCGTCTCATGATCTTGTCCTCTAATTGATCTCCAGCTGGCAACTCTGTGGCTTTGCTCTTGACTACCACCCTATGGAGGAAGAAGATGAGGTCTGGCTTAAGTGTACAAAGAGTGATTTGCTTCAGTCCCAGGCCTGCCATCTCTTTGGATGCCAGTTGGCATAGTCTCCTTTGGCCCCTCCAGACCCACTCTCCAGCCCTTCCATTATGTTCTGGATCCCATGTAGCTGATGTTCACGGACTGTGTCAGCTCACTATCTTCTGGTTGGTTCTGCCCAGGAGAAGCCCTGGCAAGGGCCTGCAATCAGGGGATGAGTAAGGACAGGCTTGTCACTCTTCCCTTTGTTGACACAGCCCAACTCTACAGAAAAGCACAGGCGGTCTTTGTCATAGAACAACTCCCTAGGTCTCATCAACCATTCCTTTGTCTCACTCCTCAGGCTCAGGGCTGATAACAGCTCTCGGTGTTTCCAGCCAAAGGTGCTTAGCTGCTTCTTGTTGGTTTCTCTAACCTATACCTTTGAAAACAGGCCATGCATTAACTTTCCTCCCTTACCCAGGTTGAGCGTGTGCCCTGCTTTGTTCTTGCTGGGATTATGGTTGAAACAGGCAAGTTATTGCACCTCTCTCAACCTCATTTCTATTTTTTTAAGGAATAAAAGTAAGAAAGCCTGTCTGTCCACAGATCCATGGGGACAAAGGTGTTGTGCATAGTGTAGAGGAGGAAAAGTGTCTTTTTTTCCTACCAATCCTCATTGGCTGGGGCTCCTGGATCAAAAGACAGATTAACAAGGGAAAAGCATACAAATTTATTTAATATAAGTTTTATGTAACACGTGAGCCTTCATAAGGAAAGTGAAGACTCAAAAAGACAGTTCACCTTGAGTGTGTTTTGTAATAGGTTTGATGAAGACTGGGAAATCATGGAAACATGTGACACGACAAAGGACAGGAGTATACACACTATGTGGAACTCAGCTAGGCCTGTTTGTTCAGCTTCTCCTCTGTCTTCAGAGATAATGCTCTTTTTCTCTGGGTATAGGGAAGGCACCTGTCACTTGATGATTTTATGCCCTGCTTCTGACCAGAAAGCTCTTCCTAGGTTTTATGACCTACATCAGAGAAGAGCAGGGGAAGGTCAGAGAGACCTTTGTGGACATGCTGTTTCTTAAATTCCTTCAATATTCCAAGGTGCCATATTTTGGTGTTGTGTGTTTTGAACCGTGTAACCAGGATCTGGCATGCAGTAGGGCTCCATGAACTTTAGTGTCTTCCTAATTGGTCATTGTGCCCACCTGGACAGCACATCCGATGAAGAACTGGATACAGGGTTCAGCAAAGGAACAACGGTAATAGCTGTCATCAATTAAATGCTTACCTGTGTGTCAGGCAGTGTTCTGAGCCCTTTGTGTATTATGTCATGAAAGCTTCATGACAATTTTGTGGGATAATTACTATGATCAGCCTCTTTTATATATGGGGTACCTGTGGCTCAGAGAACAAAGGAACATGTCTGAAGTCTCTTGGTGAGTGACAGAGCTGGAGTTGGAATCCAAGGAGTTGGCCTTCAGATCCAAAACCTACACTTCAGGCTGCCCCTTAAGAGATCCCCTCTGGCAGGAGGCAGAGCAGGAGGCCTTTAGGCTGGGGCCTCTGTGACTGCAAACTAGTATGCCAGTTTCTGGTGGGCAATAGAGAGGAGTAGCAATGCTCTAAGGCCATAGCTGACCACGACACAGGCTGTAGGACCTGTACAAGCCAGATCCAGGCTCTTCTGGGTCACATGGCTGGTGATCCTTGTGGCCGGATCACCTTCTGTGGTGTAGTCAAGTTTGCAGTCTCACTTTGGGTCACCTCACCAGTTCTACTCCTTGAATTTTAAAATGTATACAAAGTATCTCACCAGATCATGGGATGTGAAAGGTCTCTGGAAGAATTGAGGCTTCGTCTGCTCCTATATTAGCCTTCTGGAAGCATTTCTGTTCCGTTAATAATTTTTCAGCTTCCTTCAGCTTGTTTATTTTCCTCGATGTTACTAGTATTTTCCAACAGGGTGACTAGAAAGCCCTAAGTAAAGAGGGGAAGATAGGACAAAAGACTCCCATCTTCTAGGTACAGGGACCAGTGTAACATAAACAGTGACCCAGACATTCTCTGCCTAGAAGCCATGGTCAGCTCAGCCCAGCCCAGCCCAGCACATCTTCATCTTCCTCCTCCCCTGCCATTGCTTGCTGGATCTCCCTTCACTGCTCCTTGAGCTTTTGTGTCACCCAGGCCTGGGTGCACATTTCAGTCCTTTCCCTTACTGGATGCATGCACTTATGTCTCTGAGCCTCCAGGTGATAATACGCACTCATCACAGCATCACAGGCACACTTATTATCACGATAGTTTTTGGTTAATTGATTGGGAATCTGTTTACTAAAAGTCTCTCTCCTATTAGGTAGCAATTTAGTGTGGGCAGATCTGTCTCATCACTGACCAGCAACTTGCATTGTGCCTGGCACATAAGAGGCACTCAATAAATGCTATTGCATGGTTGGATGAAGAAATGAGCAATTCTTACATGGTTACTGTCATCCTACCAAGCAGAATATTTGGTTTTGGTAGACAATTTTTCTCTTCTGTCCTTTCCTAATGTATTCAACCATTGTCAAGTAAAAACTCAATGCAGCCTCTTACTAAGAAAAAAAAGTCTCCCTGGTTTTCTATTGCATCAAGTAGCTGCTGTAGATCTAGTGTCCAGCATATATGGTCACTTGGCTGGTATCAGATGCAAAGTCACCAGGAAGTATCAGGTTAGCTTGAGTTCTGATATGGATTTTGCATCATGAGGGCAGAAGGGAGAGAGCATACTTTTATTAGGCCTCTGCTATGTGCTGGACATTACGCACAATCACACAGTTAGAAGGGGATCCTCATGCCAGTCTGTGGATAGGAAACTAAGGCTGGGGAGACTAAGATACTTGTCCATAGTCACTTGGGGAGGAGCTGATAAAGCTGGAAATGAATCCCCTGCTGCCTCAGCCTAAAGTTCATGCTGTTTCTGGGGTGCCATGCTGCCTGCTCCTGAGAGCAGGTGAGAGCTGAGACGTGCAATCTGCTTAGACAGAACAAGTTCTTTCATGCTTTTTAAAACTTTTCTTGTTTGTTTTGAACAGAGTTCTGGTCCTTCTTGCCCTCTATTGCCTTCAGAAACCAATGCTGGTGAACTCTATTTTGTGGAACTGGTTAAAGAAGATGGGACACTTGGATTCAGCGTGACTGTAAGAGTTGTTAAGCAATCTTGGAAAACAGTTAAAAAGATGTCCATCTGGAGCCTGGGTGGGCATTCCACTCAAATGGCAACCCCTCAGAATTGTTCCCAAGTGCAAGTGGGTGAACCAAGAAAATCAGTAGGGGCCTGCAGTGAGGAATGAGTTCAACGACAATTAGAGAGGCATGGAGAAACCTCAGGTTGAGTGGGCCAGGCTCTAAGAAACTCCAACAACATGAGGAGGCAGCGTGGGTGGAATTGGGTGGTATGTCCTGACTCTGAGGTCAAGCTGGACTGCAGGGAGAGGGCAGCAGCATAGGGCTTCAGAAACACAAACCAAAGGTGAGAGGGTCAGTCCACCACCATCCACAGTAGGGTCAGGGTGGAGCTTTGTGCCTGGATCTCCCAGGCCCAGGACAAAATTCTGCCAACCAGGCTTCCATCAGGACTGGCACTTTGTATTTGGTTTCTTAGGTCTACCTTGCAGACCCATGGAAGGAGATTAGCCACGAAACTGTAATTACTCAAGGGTTTGGGGAATGGTACTCACAAAGCTGGTAAAAATCCAGAAGTCAGAGGTTGGAAGGAACTACTTTTATTTCTGAGTGTTGAAAATAGCCCATTGACTTGAGACCCTGGAATGGTTCTAGATTTCAGGAATGTCCTTGTTGTATTTAACAGTTGTTTGGAAACAGACAGAATATCTCAGCAGTTAGGAAATGCCATGACCAATGAAAATTTCCAAGGGAAACCCAAGAGATAAGTGAATGGAGAACATTCTTTGCTTTCTTATGTGATGATCTGTACACCTAGAGCAAATATAGCTCTCTTGTTGGACCATCATCCTGCAACAAATGTATTGTCATTAGATGATTTTAAGGGAACAGGTAAGAAACCAAGAAATAAGACTCATGAGTGAATAGGCTGGTATCAAGTATGGTCAGTTTATTCTTGGCTTGGGGTAACAATCCTATCAGACACCAAATATAGCTATTTCTCATTTGAAAAACTCACTGCATTTTGAATTATTCACATACACACTCATATAAATATGCATACACACACACACACACACACACTCACACATATATATGTTGAGACGAGGTTGGTGATTTTCTTTGGTTGGTAAAAAACTTGGACTTCCTTTGGGGAAATTTAATTTCAGAAATAATTCTTGAAATGTCTCACTCAAATCCAAATGGCCGTTAAACACATGAAAAACAGTCAACCCATGAAAAGTCACAGGAATACAGATTAAATTAAAACAAAATTTTAAACTTTATATCTACCAGTTTGTCCAAATATAACTGATGGAATGCAGAGAAATGGGACCCTCACACAAAGCTGGTAGAAATGTAAATAAGTATATCTATATTCACACTGAAATGCAATCTGGCAATTTCTATTACAATGAAGCATGCACATATCCTTTGGCCCATCAAAGTACACAAGGCATGCCAGGCACACGCCTTCAGGCCTGCAGCCATATCCACCTCCGTTGGTTGCTACCAATAGTCACTGTGGTGACCATTTACTGAGCACCTGTCATGTGCCAGGCTGGGGCTAGGGGCATGGCACGGCTCACTCAACAGCTTCTATTGTTATCCTTCTTATAAACACTTAATCTTATTGCTCAGTGGAGAATTTGATCTAAACAAACAGGTGAATACAGAAGACAGTGCCAGTGGGGGATGCGGTAATGGGATAGAGTTGTGAACAGGTGGGGGATCCCTTAGTCAGGGAGATGGGGGAGGTACCCCAGGAGGCACCAGATGGATGGTGAGTTTTTCATTGTGTTTTTCAGGGTGGGATTAACACAAGTGTACTCTCTGGAGGTATCTACGTGAAATCCATCGTCCCTGGAGGGCCAGCTGCTAAGGAAGGGCAGATACTTCAGGGTGAGGGATGGAGTCACCTTGGGAACACTGTGTTTTGGGGTGTAAAGAGCCCTGGGCTGGGGGGGAGCCTCCATACCTCGCACCACTCTTAGTCTGACACCTGGTTTAAATAATTGCCTTTCTAGGTCATGCTTTCCTTACCTGGAAAGGGGATGGTAACCTGCCCTGCCCACTTGATAGGTTAACATGGGGTCAAAAGTTTGCACTGGCACATTTGAAAGCATAAGGTGATATAAACACAATAGAAAACTTAAAAGACACATGTTGCTGTTTGGCCTTCATGGGAGAACATGCCGTTGTAGGACAGAAGTGGCCTTGGTGACCCCACTCTTGTATCCAGGGAGGACACTGTGAACCTTCTCTTGGCCCTTCCTCAGTTCTCACTATTCTGACAGAAGGGATAATTTTTATTGTTCTCCCAAACTGCCAGAATTAAGCCAAGAGGGGAACCTGGGATTTTACTTATCTCTATTTCCCCTAGAATTCTGTGTCTTCAGCCTCAACCATGCCTCCCTGACCTTTTTTGAAATTAAAAAAAAAAAAAAAATCTAGGAGATATAAATATCTAAGCAACTTGAAAATACTTTCAAAATTGGTTTTACAGGAAAACAGGGGGAAGAATAAGGTTGAACAGAGCTTGTTCAACCACTCTGTGAGCCAATAATAGAAAGGCTTTCATATCATTGATCTGTTATGTGCCTCAGAAGGAGGGAGCCAGGGTGTTCAGAGAGGCAGGATTCCTGTGGACTCCACAGATGCACCTCTGCTTCCTGCCTCACTCCCGTGGGTGTATGAAGGGGCACCAGGCAGAGGCCTTGAGGAAGGGTCCTTCCTGCAGCCCCAGGTGCCCGGGACATGACATTCTTCCCTTTCCCAGGTGACCGACTTCTGCAGGTGAATGGTATGAGTCTGTGTGGCCTCACCCATAAACAGGCTGTGCAGTGCCTTAAGGGTCCTGAGCAGGTAAGTGTTACCAGGGGAGCTTCCCCTTCTTCTGGAGCTTTCCTGGACATTAGAAGCAGTTGCCTCTGGGTAGGAGGGAGACAAGCAGGAAACAAAACAAGACTTTTTCTTCATCTGCTTTTTTCTCTTCTACTTCTTCCCTTTCTTACCCCTTTTCTATGAAGACGTGAAATCCAGGAGGTAGCAGACAGATATTTCCAAGCAGAAAGACCAACCCCCTACAAATAGCCTTAAGTTTAATACTTGTCACTTGCCTTGATGCTGAAATCAGAAAGCAGAACAGAGAGGATGGAATGAAGTGATTGCTTCAGCCTGGCTCTGGCTGCTCCGACACTACCAACCATGCGTCCATCTGCTCTCAGGCTTTCTCACCTCTCTGCCCTTGCACATGATGATTCCCACCCCATCCCCAGTTCAGAACCTTGGGCCTGGGTCTGGGTCAGACTGACCTGGGATTCTTTTCATCACAATGAGGTAGATACGCAGGATGCCAAAAGCAGAGACATTCTTTAATTATGTACTCTATATTACATGCTGTGCCCAGGCAGGGTCTTGATATTACCACACTGTGTTCAGTCCTCTGCCTGAGGGAAGGTGCCTCTAACTGCTCCAGTGGCCTGAGCCACAGAGCTGGCATCACCCTCTCTTGGAAACTGAGGAGTCAGCAGAAACAAGAGGGATTCTTGAAGCCCTTCCAGCCTACCATGGGGTAGCATTCTGGACACTTTTTGCTTTCTTCCCCAAGTGGTCTTCTAGTTTCTGGTGAAATTTACTTATACTGGCGATCTTGGTTGACATATCTTGAGAATAGAATCATAATTTATTAGCATCCTCTGCTCTTTAAACCTTTGATAATGAATATGGTTAAAGAAGATACTTGGCTGGCCTACTGGCAGTGATAGCAGGTAGGATTTGTCACTCTGAGATCCTGGGCCAGTTGCTGAATGACAATTGCAACAGAACAATGGAGGCAAGCCCAAGTTCCAAGGACCAGCAACTGGACATGACCTGGAAGCTTTCTTATTACTGGTTCTTGAATCACATTTAGGGTGGTGTAGGGAAGATGGGTAGGAAATAAAACCAGAAAGAAAGGGTGGGGGACAATTTGGCTCAGGCCTGGGATGTCATGCTATGGGTTTGGGTTTTAGGTGATGGGAAGCACTGGAAACTTTTAATCAAGAATGCTGCATGTTCAATTTGTGTCTTGGACCAATTAGCTGGCAGTTGCGATGGGGATAAATGGAGGAGATACAGACAGGGTCCAGCAAGCTAGGTTAGCTGGAGCTTGCCACACCCCAGAGGGACACTGATAGTGGGAGAGGGGATGGAGGAGGAACACTGGGAAGTTGTTCCTGATGGGAAATTCATAAGCCTGAGAAACTAGGTGGGGGAGAGCTGGCCCACTCCAAGTGTGGCCCCTGGGAGGTTAATGGGAGGATAGTTTCCTGTTCTGAGGGAACAAATGCAAGAGGAGGGATGCTTTAGGTGAAACGAGGAAAGTGAGAGTGAGTGAGGGGAGGAAGATGAGTCTGGGTCTGAATATACTGAAATGGAGGTGCACATATTACTTCTAGGTGCACTTGTCTAATAAGCAGTTGGAAATATGAGTCTAGATCCCCACAAATAGCTAGACTGGAGATTCAAATGAAGCTGCTTATTGGAAGTATCAGAAAAATTAAGAAGCATTTTCTGAGTCAAGGAAGTACCTTCTGGTTGCCATATGAAGTGTGAATTTGGTTTGTCCATCCATCCTTCTAGGTTGCAAGACTGGTCTTAGAAAGAAGAGGTCCTAGGATTGCACAGCAGTGTCCTTCTGCTAATGACAGGATGGGAGATGAACACGTGGCTGTTTCCTTGGTAACAGCCTTGCCTGGCAGGCCTGCGAGCTGTGTTTCAGTGACAGATGGTGAGAGGAGAGAGAATTGAGTGTTACTATTGTCATGTTGTCGTGTGCTGCTCTTGAATTGTCAAGTCAAAAGGGAAAGGCATGAGACTTTCCCTGGGTTCTCAAAGAAAACGAGCCATGGTGATCATGATGTGATGGGCTTGCTCATGAGGTAGAAGCCAATCTAATAGAGTATGTTTCTGGAAAACAAATGTATTGTCTCAAAATGATTTCCAGGCATAATTCTACCCCCCAACCCTTCCTCACTCTTCTGATCAGCTGCTGGAATGTTAATGTTTGTGTATAAGTATTGAGGGTGAAATTGAGTGAAAGGGTCACGCATTTTCAGATATATTTGATTCCACATTCCCACCAAGTCATTTGTAACAAAGTTATCTGAAGAATAATTAAGTAGGATGGTAGAAGAAGGTGTTCAGGACACTAGCCTGATGAACATAATTTTACAAAGCAAATCTATGATCAGTTTAGGGGAAATATAATTGCATGTTTTCTGATGGGTTGCCACTCTACACTCCCTTATGATTTTGCTTCTTACTAGGAAGATGTTTATTTCCTTAATATATCACAATTTGGAGTTTAACCATTTTCTAGTCCCTTCATGGAGATGGTTTTGGTTCTGCTATAGAAGGTGCAAGGTAGATTGCATGCAGGGTAGCCATAGAGTTAAGCAGTGGAATGTGGTGAAGGGGGACACTCCTGCTTAAATCAAGTCTCTCTCCTTTGTCCTTACCCCTCTGTTCCCTTAAGTGGGGGCATTTGAGAAACTGACTCCAGAATGAGCCAAGGAAACCAGAATGAGCCAAGGAAGCAATGGGAGAACTTGTCATGCTGCACACCATCAGCAACTGGCAAGACACTCTCACATTTAATTTTCTGCCTCAGTTTAAAAATAATCTGACCTTGAGTAAGTCTTGCTTCTCATTAGGCTCATCAGTGAAGCTAAGGATAAAACTCTGGCTTTGGGGCTGGCTAATGCCTCCTAACACACACATGGGAGATAGGTGAGGGACTAAAGAAAGGGACTAGAGGAAGACCAGACTATCTAGTCCCTTTCTGCTTTCCTTCTATTTATCTACGGTACTTGACACGTAGTGTTACAATTATTACCTTCACTCAACTGCTTCAGATGTTTTCTTTCTTGTCCCAGTAAAAATTTACAAGTTGGTGCTCCATTCTTCTGAACACTGATGCCAACTGGATTGCTGAAGGCAGACAGAAGGGAAGCCCAGAGGCCTCTTTGGCCACCAGAGTACCTAGGTGTCTGTATGTGTCTGTCTTCGGTGCCCAGAGGCAACTCTTTTTGTCTTATGGTTAGTCCATGCAGCTAAACAACAAGACAGCTAAAACATTGTCCAAAGAGTTGGCCATAATTGTCTCTATACTCTAATTATGCAAAATCTAGTTTTGAGCATACTACAAAATGACTACAGCACTAAAGGAATAATAGGAGTATATATGATACAAGTTTTACTAAATGCCAGGAGCATGTTATATGTGCCTATCAATTATATCTTTACATATAAATGCAGTTGGTTATCTACAATTGTGTTCTCCAATATAGTAGCCACTTATTACATGTGGTTATCGAGGACTTGAAATGTGACCAATCTAAATGAATAAAATACATACTGGATTTTGAAGATTTGGTTTGTAAGAAGAATAAAAAAAATCTCATTAAACTTTTCTCATATTGGTTACATGTTGAAATGGCACTATTTTAGATATATGAGGATAAATAAAATGTATTATTAACATTTATCTAATCTTTCCTTTTACTTTTTAAACTGTTTTAGACATTTTTTGTTTTTATTTTTTGTTTGCTTCCTTTTCTTTTGCTTTTATATTAATGTAGCTATTTGGAAACTTTGAAATGACATTTATGGTTTGTATTTGTAGCTCACTTTTTATTTTATGAGATAGAACTGATCTATAACATGGGTAACGAACTCTGTCATTAAAAAAATTAGCAAATGTAATATTTTTATGTAAAGTAGAAATAATCCGTCTACTTGATGATTTGCATTTTGAGTCTGGTCAATTTCACTTATAATCAACTGAAGCATTTATTTTTTATCAACACCACTAATACAGGTCCTAAGTTTGAAGTCAAATTGAAAAAGAATGCCAATGGCTTGGGATTCAGTTTCGTGCAGATGGAGAGAGAGCGCTGCAGCCACCTCAAGAGAGATCTCGTGAGGATTAAGAGGCTATTTCCAGGGCAGCCAGCTGAGAAGAATGGGGCCATAGCAGCTGGTGACATTATCCTGGCAGTTAATGGAAGGCCCACAGAAGGCCTCATCTTCCAGGTGCTGGAGACTAAGAGCAATGCAGCTCTGTGTGCAGGCTGACCTCAGCCTTGCTTCTTACAGGCCTGCCTACAACGAGGGAATACTCTAGGCTCCTGAAAATCACTCTAGGGGCTTGACTTTGATCACACACAGTTGGCAGGACACTTCCACATTTAATTTTTGGCTCCATTTTTAAATACCTGACCTGAGTAAGCCTTGCTTTTTGAGGTTCTTCAAGTGAAGCTTAGGAGAAAACTCTGGCTTTTGTGCTGGCTAATGTTTCTTAATACACATCCTAGGAAGTGGGTATGGAGCTGAAGGGACTAGAGTGCATCCCTTTCTGCTTTCCTTCCCATTTCTTTACAGCTTTCTGGCAGAAAATTGAGTCATTTGAGGAGCATTTAATAAAGGTCTGCATAGGTTATTGGGAAACCTGATGAACTGTGTAGTGGCCTGGGCTGAGAATAGTGAGGTGCAGTTACCCATCCTCCAAGCCCTAAGGTGATGGAAAAGAACCATTACCCAATCTCAGAAATAGAGAGCCCAGGGAGGGGACTTGCTGGCATGAGCTCTGGCCTTAGTTGAGGGATGCAGTCATCCCTAGCAACCAGAGAAGAGGAAGCCAGGAGACAATGCCTACCTTCTACTCCTTTCTGTCTCTGGTCCTCCACTGTGCCTACTCCCCCATGCCACTCCCCACCATCTCTGGTTGAGTACAACAGAAAGCCTCAAGCAACCCACTTAGGTTGACTCCAGGAACACAGAGCAGGATGAACAAATGGGGAGAGTGGCTCTGGGAGGCAGGGAGTCTCCAGAACAATGTTTGTCTGGGTGACAGCCATGCCTTCACCAGTCCATCTTCTGATCTGAGAGCCCTACTCTGAGAATTGCTGCTGGTCTGGCAACTCTGTGAAAAACTGAAGACACAGAGGTGGACAGCTCATACAGTCTCAGAGCTCATGGACAGAACATAGCAGTAACAATAGAAGATAAGTGTCCTAAGAGATAAAAGCCCATACTGCAGTGCTCACACTAGGGAACTGGGAAAGGAGCATCCCTTAGAAGTCCTGTGTGGCTGAGGTGGGAACCTGGGAGCACCTGGATCAGCTGTTCTCAAATGGGGATGATTTTGCCTCTCTGGGGATATTTGGTCAATTCTAGAGACATTTATGGTGGTCCCAACTGACAGGTGTTACTGGCATCTAGTGTAGAGACCAGAGATGCTGATAAACATCCCACGATGCATAGGACAGACATCCCAACAAAGAATTCTCCAACTTGAAATGTCAATAGTGCTGAGAGGTTGAACAAACCTGATCTAGATAAGAAATGGGAGCTATCAAGGTAAGCTTAAGCCCCGAGCATTGAGTAGGTGGCTTGGAGCAAGAGGTTCAGCAAGGTGAAAGTGTAGAATGTGGGTGCAGAGGGGAGCAGGTGGGGGGGGGGGAAGAGAGAGAGAGAGAGAGAGAGAGAGAGAGAGAGAGAGAGAGAGGCAGGGTAGGTAGGATCAGTTCTATGTGCTGTACCTCAGAGCGTGTGCTGAGGGCAAGGTGAGTTGGTGTGCAGCAGAAGAAGGATTTGTTTATATTTTCATTTTGGAAGGACCACCCTGGAGCATTGTAGAGGAAGACAGTTGGGAGACATTAGAGAAGGCAGGGAACAGAGAGGGAGGTCACTGCAATATCATAGGTGAGAGGCTTCTGGAGCCCAAGCTGAGCCAAGGCAGGAAACTTAGAGTTGAACATCAGACTTTAGAGATTGGAGTGGTGGAGCCTACGTGATCAGTGGTCCCTGCAATGAGGGGAGGTTGGGAGCAAAGGGAGATTAAAATGAGAACAGCCATTTGTTTGAGCCTCTCTTTCTCTCTCTGAAGAAAAGGCATGATATTGACAGATATAGTCCTAAAATGGCCCTGAACAGAGGCTGCCTGTTACCAGCCCAAGCAGCTATGCATTGTCTCTATGGAGCCTTGGCTCCTTGCACATTGAGAAGTCAGGCCCAAAACGATGTTCTGCAAAATTCTCTGGAGTTGAGAAACAGATCAAGGTATGGGCATGAGGAGCCAGCACCTGGGAGACAGTGGGAGCACAGAGGAGGAGATCTCTAGCCATGTCAGCCCCAGATCTAATAGTGCATATTGGTTTCTCGTAGGAGGTGCTCCATCTGCTGCGAGGGCCCCCACAGGAAGTCACGCTCCTCCTTTGCCGACCTCCTCCAGGTACACTGCCTGAGATGGAGCAGGGATGGCAGGTAGGATCCAGAATCTTCTGCTCTCCTCACTTGGCTCCTGTCAGACTCCCCTTTGTTGGGTCCTGAGAAGCCCAGCATTGCTTGTCAGTAGGGTTCAGTGCCACCTCTTTTCACAGAGGCAGGAAAAGGCCTGGCCCCCAAGCCTCAGTGGGACTCCTTCCTCCCCTTTCTTCAGTCTCTCCTGACATTTGGATCTTCCTATAGATGTTTACTTGTTTAGACTTTGGCCGTGAAATTTCTAAGGTCCATCTTTCTAGCAGTGCAAGCATCAGACAGAGGAAAGCGGGAGGAAGGGGAGTAGACATAAAACTAGACTAGGGAATTTCCATTCTGAGAAATGAAGTAGAAAACAGGATATGTGCCCACCCTCCTAAAACATGAAACAAACATGTATGGTCTAGTGCAAAGAAAAGAGGCATTGGAGTCAGAAAAATTCAGGATTTTTGCTTTGATGCCTATATTAGTCAGTTTCTCCAGATAGGTTTCTCCAGAACTGATAGGATGTGTGTGTGTGTGTGTATGTGTGCAGGGAGGAGGAGGGAGAAAAGAGAGAGAAAAATTTTTAAGGAATTGGTTCATGTCATTATGATTATGAGGGCTGACCAGTCCAAATTCCATAGCGCAGACTAGCAGGCTGGGTGTTCAGGGAAGAATTGATGCAGAAAACTTGAACCCGAAGGCAGTTTGGGGGCAGAACTTCCTCTTCCTCAGGGGAGATCAGTCTTTACTTTTACTCTTAAGACCTTCAATTGATTGAACAAGGCCCACCACATGAGGGAGGGTAATCTGCTTTTACTCAAAATCTGTTGATTTACATGTTAATAACTTACAAGTAAAATACCTTCACAATGACATCTACATTGGTGTTTAACCTCATATCTTGGGAGCACGGCTTAGTTAAGTTGATACATAATATTATCCATCGTTATGCCTTGTGTGATCCCTGGGAAACAGACTTTGCAATAGAGATTTGAGTGCAGAGGATGTATAAGGTTGGCTCTCAAGAACATCCCCTGTGATGGTGAGAGAAGCTGGGCTGGGCTGAAGGAGAGTTCAAGGTGCAGCTGCAATTGAGGCCTCATCTGATCTCACAGGGTGCTCTGGAGCTGTCCTGGACTGGGGTAAGAGAGCCTGTGCCTTTGCGCCTTGCATCAATCTGTATTGGAATGGGGGCTGCCCCAAGGGAGGGGACCTAACTTTGGCTGAGGCAACTCCCTTGAGGTGAGCACAGTTTGCAGGGAGGGGCTGGCTATGAGCTGTCAGTGGCTGTCACTCCCTGCATTGGGATGGTCCTATAGAAGGATCTGGGCAGGCACCTAGATCACCTGTACCTGCTCTGCTATGACTCTTGAGGCCTATCTTCTCTAGGCCACATGATTCTTCATCTATAAGGTGTGGAGAAAAATGATCACTTATCATGACTGACACGGAAGATGGCACAGGGGACTTGATGACCCAGATCGTGTTGACACTTAGATTCCAAGAGGTCATTTGACACTGACTCTGGAGAGAGAAGAGCTATGGGCAAGATATCCAGAAGTTGCTAGTTTGGAAAAGAAGGTGGACAATGGAAATCATATTAAGCAACTAAACAGGGTGAGAGAAGGCCAAATTTCCCCCACACAAAGATCAGACCAAGGGTCCCGTATCCTGTGTTTTTGTTGAAATATATAGGAAACTCCAGGGGAATAAAAGTTATCCTTCTGTCCTGGAGAATAGCTCACCTAGGAGAGCTCAGAAGGGTCTAGCGGGAAGAGATTGGGGTGGAGTGTGGTGGGCCTGCTTTCCTTTCTGATGCCCAAGGGCCAAGTGGAAGGGGGATTTTGATTTATTCATGTAACTCCAGTGGTCAGACTGAATACCAAGGGTCAGTAGCTCCGAGGTATTTGGTCCATACCTAGAATAAAGTAGCATGAGAAGGAGGCAGCCATGCAAACATCTAGAGTAAGGTCGTTCCAGGTAGAAGGAGCAGTGATTATGAAGTTTCTAAGACAGTATGAAGGCTCTAAGACTCCTTCCAGGTGGAAGGAGTAGTGAGTATGAAGGCTCTAAGACAGGAAGGTACTAGCCTGATCGGGGGACAAAAAGACAGCAGGTGTGCCTGGACTGTCAATAATGAAGGGAAAAGTAGAAGGGGAAGGAGTTGTAGAGGTAAGCAGGGGTCAATCATGTAGGGCCTTGGAGGTCACAATAATGTGCTGCTACCATCCTGGCTACAGTGGAAAGCCACTGAAATTGGTGGGAGTAAGGGTGGTGGAGGGTTCAGCAGGGAAGTACCCTCACTTCCCTTTAAAGATCTGCACTTTAAAGTACAGCATCAAGTTGCTGGTGGAGAGGAACTGGAGGAGATCAACCAGTGGTTATTCAGGTAAAATACTGTGGCTTGGACCCAGGCCATAGCAGAACAGTTGTTCAGAAGTAGTCAGATTTGGGATACATCTGGGAGGTGGAGTCCATGAGATTACTTTTGGATTAGACATGGGTATGAGGAAAGAGTAATCGAGGATTGGCATGAGCAAACCATGGATGAATGGTGGTACCACTTACCAGCAGACTGCTTACAGGGTGGGGTGGGGTGGTGTTTGGGGTACATAGAGGAGGAGCAGTATTTCTTAATATCATATAAAATTGAGATGTTTATAGGATATCCTATGTAGATGGGCAGTTGGTCATGGAGAATAAGAGTGAGGTCAGGGCTGGAAAAAGTGAAATTGAAACTTCTCAGCATATAAACATCATTAAAAGCCACTAATTGCTAGAGATCACCTTGGGAGAGAGCACAAAGTCTCTCACAATGGGAGATATGGTCTGGAGAGATGAGTCAGAGAAGAAGGGGCCTGGGAAGTGGTGGAAAAACCAGGCAAGGATGTTGTTCAAGTCAACTCCATGTCAATACAACTGACAAGTAAGGGAGTTCTCAGGAAAAAGGGAAGGATCGATTTGGTTGAATGTTGCTGAGAAATAGAGTGAGACAAGGATACAGAATTGTCCTTTGGTTTTAGAAAGATTGAGGTTGTTGGACACCCTGATTTGAGCTCTTTCAGTTGAATGATGAGGACAGATGGTTGGTGGGAGTGGGTGCAATAAAGAAGGAGGGAGACGTAGAGACAGTGAGAAGAGGTGCTTGTTTAAGGGTTTGCTATGAAGTAGAGCAGAGAAACGGGTGGCAGGTGGGTGGAGGGCAAAGTAGGGGTTGGGCAGGGGTTGCAGGCTGGTTGATGGAATTTACTGTGGAAAGATGAGTGTTCTAATCTGAATGTATCCATTCTCACTGTTAAGTAAGAGCTAAGGTTAGGCAGGAGTTGTTGGGGACCTAAGGGGAGAGAAGATGAGAAATAATTTAGAGACCAGGGTAGTAGAAAACAGAATTTACTAAGGACATAGGGAAAGATTGCTTGGAAGTCTTGAGTGCCCAGTTGGCATCTGCAGTCATACATTTGAAGTTAATCTAGTGAGAGTTTTGGAAGCAGGGGTGATCATAGTTTCAGTAGGAATTAAAATTAAAATCCAGGCCAGGCACAGTAACTCATGCCTGTAATCCCAGTGCTTTGGAAGGCCAAGGCGGGGGGATCACTTAAGACCAGGAGTTCAAGACCAGCCTGGGCAACCTAGTGAGACTCCCACCTCTATAAAAAATTAAAAACAAATTTAGCCAGGTGTGGTGATGTGCACCTGTAGTCTAGCTAGTGGGGAGGTTGAGGTAGGGGGATACTTGAGCCCAGGAGTCTGAGGCTTCAGTGAGCTATGCACTACAGTCTGGGAGACAGGACAAGACCCTGTCTCTAAAATCAATAAATAAACAAAATCAAATCAAATTTAAAGTATAGTATCTGCAAGTAACATATGATGGAGACAGAGGGAGGAAGGCGTTGGGATCTCAGGGTCTTCCTTGACTGTAAGGGGGCATCTCTGAAACAGAACCATGGCATCTAGGCAGAGCAAAAAAACCGTGCATGGTGGGGGACGGGGAGTGGTGGTGATGATGAGAAACAGCAGGTCCCCAGAAAGGAAGCCTTGGAGAATGGAAGCATCACTGGAGAGCCAGTCTGGGACCAATGAGCTGGAAGGAGAGGAAGAGTTAAAAATGAGATTTTGGAGACTTTCCCCAAATTTTAAAAATAGGATAAAATATGGTCTTTCTCTCTGTATTTTTTATCTCATCCATTCAAATTTTGATTTGGTATACCTTTTATAATGTCCATAGTCTATCAGTCGAGTAGCAAGTGACTCATAATTAAATAGATGTGCACATTTGAGGGTTATGCCTCTCACTGCAGGAAGTGTGCAATCAGAAGGGCGAGGACACCACTAGCTTGGATAGCAGTGCTAAAGGTGCTTCTTTTGTAGGTGAGGGCATGAGTGGGAGGATGGAGGTCACAGAATGGAAGTGCTAAAAGATTGTTTTCAGGAAAAGATAAAATCACAACTCTCATACAGATAGAAAAACTAACATGTTTTAAAAAAACATTTTATTTAACTCATTCAGTGAGGGAAACAGGCAGATGCTAAAACTGGTTCAAAAGAAATTTCTAAGGACACGTTTATTTATAGAGTTGTAAAAGAGCTCAGAAACAATGAATACAGCTAGAATCAGATAACCCAGAAGGTTGTGCTGTAGACAATGCATGGCTTTCTACTGAAACACAGACTTTTTTTCTATAAAAGGCTGAGCATTGGTAGCAAGTCATAGTGTGTCATGAAATCAGAACCTAAAGCCTGACAGAGATGTAAGCAGTTGAGGTAAATCAAGTCATGTGTGGAGACATGAGACCTGGGAAAGAATGCCATGATAATGGAACAGCGGCAGACAAATCTGTGATGACAGATGAAGGCAATGAAACTTTAAAAACACACATTTTTAATTGGAAAGTGAGCTAGTCATTGTTTTTCAAATTTGTCTTTGGTTTTAGTATTTGTCTAAATTTTGCAAATATTTTTCATTGCAAAAATAAATAATACTCACAATTACTGAGAGCATCCAATGTTCTGAAGCTGAGGTGCTTAGGTGTGTTGCCCAGGGCCCAGTGGGGGAATATGGAGGAGCTGAGATCCTAAGAAGGTGGATGGATTCCAACACCCATTTTGTAACTGCTCTGATCTACAATCACATGGGGAGAAAAGCTTTTTATTTTTTAAAGAAGCAATTTTTAGATTCGCTCAGCATGCATCATGGAGCCAGTAATCATTAGCATTTCTTTTAATAGACACCCGAACTCTCAGCAGACAAAGAATTCACCAGGGCAACATGTACCGACTCAGAGTGGAGCCCCAGCCTGGATCAAGAGGATAGCTGGAGGGATAGTGCTTCTCCAGATGCAGGGGAAGGCCTGACTTTCAGGCCAGAGTCTTCCCGAAAGGCCATCAGAGAGGCACAATGGGGCCAAGACACAGAGAAACCTTGGGCCAGGTCCTTGACACATCCTCCTGAGTCCCACCCTCATTTATGCAAACTTCACCAAGAAAGGGGCACATCAACATTGGCGACCTCTTTGGAAAAGGATATGAGGCAAAACTGCTATTCAATTTGTGATATCAGGAAACTTGCAAGGTAAGAATCATCACGTTTGCAGGCATTTTGTAAATTGTATGCATTTCATTACTACAAAATTACAATTAAGCAATCCATAATCATGCTCAGATGCTTATTGTGCCCGGCACTGTTCTAGGCACTTATAGGGGAGTGGGCAACAAGAGAGGCATAGGCTTGGGGCTGCTGTAAACACAACCTGTGAGCTTTTGGAGAAGCATGCTCCACCATTGTTCCCAATATGTCTTGGAGGCTACATATGGCAGGCCTCGGGTTTTCTCCTAGCACATATGCCTTTGATCTGCATCCCTCATGGCCTCTTAAAGCATTGTAGTAGAAAAGAAGTTCTTATATACATCCTCATTTCTACTGCTAACATAAGGCTTTACTATCGACACCAATGTTTTCTTTAGAGACAGGGTCTTGCTATGCTGTTCAGGCCAGACTTGAACTCCGGGCTCAATTGATTCTCCCACCTCAGTCTCCTACATAGCTGGGACTGCAGGCATGTGACACCATGCTTACCTATGCCAGCATTCTTTTTGTTTTAAACACATCTGTATCTTTAAAACCAGACTGAAACATTCATTTTAATAGCCATTTTTAATTTAGTCTGCATTTTTGTGCCCATCTACTCGCAAGTATTTCTAGTTTTCAGTCTTATTCTGATGGAAAACATATTCTTCAATTCAGTTTGACAAATACTTATTACACACACCCAAATTGCTTGGACACCTGTTAGGACCAGAGAGGGGGTACAAATGGAGAGTAGGATACTGCTTCTAGACGTGTGCTAGACAGATGCACAGGGACATAATGAAGAGCAATAGTTTGTGTTTGACATCGTATAAACCTGCTGAGACTAAATGGCTTTTATTTGGCGGTTGTCCTAGAAGACTGACAAGGAACTGGAAGTCCTTACTAAGTATGAAGCAGTAGTGTCATACGACTGTGCTCCATGAGAGCTGTGACAAACTGGAGCCAGGCATATATGCCCTAAAAGCTCCCAGATACAAATTTTTAAAAAAACACTGTGCCAAACACAAACTAGTTTGCAAAGTAGAACAGGGCAGGCAAGTACATCCATCAGTGATACTTATCTTTGTTTTCTGATAATGTATAAACACAAGTGTATTTATAGTTCCTCATAATTGCAACCTAGGCAGTAATTGATATACTTAATAAAGGAAATAAGCTACAGAGATTTATCCAAGGACAACCATTAGCATGATTTTATAGCCATTTTTAATTCATATAAAAAGAACTGCACTTCCCTGCAGGCATGGGGTCACTGGTTTGAATTTTTAAAGGTTTTACTGCTGGATATTTTGTAATTATGAACAGGGACCCTAAGAGTTGAATTATAAAGTGGTTCTGGGTATAGGTACAAGCTGAGAATTTGACTTGTCATGTATGTTTAATCTAATATAGTCAAAAGTTATTTTAATGGGTATTATTATTTTTTTACAGATTATTAGTACAAGCAGTCACTGCTTCATTCATTGATTTACAGAATGTCAGCTTGTTCAATATAAAAATAATCTAATCTTTTTTTTTTTTTTTTTGAGTTGGCGTCTCACTCTGTCACCTAAGCCTTGACCTACTGGGCTCAGGTGATCCTTTTGCCTCAGCCTTCCAAGTAGCTGGACCACAGGCACGTGCCACCATGACTGGCTAATTTTTAAAAATTTACTGTAGAAATGAGATCCAGCCAAATTGCCCAGGCTGGTCAAACCCCTGGTCTCAGGCAATCCTCTCGCCTCTGCCTCCCAACGTGTTGGGATTACAGGCACAAGCCACTGCACCTGGCAAAATGATCTTATCTAACCTCATACTCCCTGCTAGATTTGGTTTTGTAACATCCCTGAAGAAGGATCCCAGGTTTTGCTTGAATATCTCCAGGGATGGAGAACTTGTTACCTCTTGAAAACCCATCTTATCACCATCTAGTTGTTGATCAGAAAGTGCCCACATATATTAAGGTGAAATCTACCTCTTTCTATATTCTACTTGCAAGTCCCGATACCTATTCCCTCACCTTTTTATCATTCACATTTTTTAACAAGAAAGTCACATTATTCTGTTTTTTTTGAATCAAATTAAACTTGGCTTAGTGTCCCTACTTGCAAGGGTATACCAGATGTCTAAAATCTGTCATTCTTGGAGCCCCTTCCTAAAGTCACACAAGAGTCCTGAGGGCTTGTCCAGAATATTCCAGCAGAGTCTCTGATCTTCAGTCTGTTATGATTGTCCCCTCACCTCAAGCTTGATGCCAAGGCCCATGTGGTCCATATGGCCATGTGCAAATCATGGCAAGCAGGCTTATTATTCTCAGCACTGGCTCTCTCAATGGCCAACACCTCTCCTTGTATTTGCTTCCCTGTGGTGGTTCTGGTGATGACCATTTTCTTCCTCCTCACATGTTCTGTCTTTATTTTTACCTTATTTTCTGTCTCTCACTTAGGAACTTTTCCTCCTCTCTGAAATAACTCAAAGTATGTCAGTCTCTCCTCCAGCAGGACATTAGCTTGTGTTTAATGCACACATAGTTAGTGACTGCCCCTTACAGGAAGAAAAGTGTGGTGCATGCCCAGCAATCACAACACAGTTCCCTCAGCTCCTGGGTAGGGTTAGAATTAGGATTCCAAAGTGGGACTGTGGATTTTTGCAGATGCTCTTAGAAGTGTCTGCAGTTCAGTTCTGAGGTGGCTGTCCCAGGGCACTACCTCTTAGGTTTTGGCATCTGTGATTCAAACTCTTTTTCTGCAATTTAGAACAAAAAGAACATGAACTTCTCAATCCTATCACTTGGTTTCAACTTTGCTACTTACTAGGATGCCTGGCAAGTTGCCTTCCCTGCTTGAGGCTTCCCAAATGTAAACACAGACCATGACAATTCAACAGGGTCTATGCAGGTCAGAAGAAATAACACATGCAGAGTATTATCGCAGCTTCTGGCACGCAGTAAGAACTCAACACAAATCAATTTTCTCTCTTTTTCCTGAACTATTTTCAGCTAAAGAACCAGTCCCATCAATTGAAATTCCCAGCAAATTGCCAGAACTTACCATCTGCCAGGTGGCTACTTTCTACAGCCAGACAGCTGCCAGCACCCTGGCAAACCCAGAGCGTTCATAGAGAAGATTAGATTTAACTTTTCCTTCCTTGTTCTCTTCTTTTATTGTACTATATATCCAGAGATTTTACCATATAGTAGTAGATAATTAATAGAGCAGTTCAGTATCTTTTATGGAGGAAAGTTGGAATTATGTACCTAACAGGGTAAAGGCTTGATTGGAGTCAGATCTTATACAAGATTAGTTCCTAAAGCTAGGCATATGATGACAATCACATCAAGTCAAGTCATGTTACCATTTAACAGCACTTTGAAAGGTGTGCTGTTATTTGCTCCTTTTATGTGGAAGAAGATCACTTTTTATTTGGTTGAGCTTCAGATGAAGTCTGGAGGTTTCATTTATGGGCTCTGCTGTATGCAAAGTGTTTATCCTTAAATGCTGGCCCCATAGAGACAGAGACAGACTTAGGGGATGGAAGATTCAATACTCCCACTCATGTGCATCTTGGAAAATTGGTCACCACAGAATGGTTAAGCTTATCGCTCCCTCTCTTTTTTGCCTAGCACATATTGTTAAACTCATGTAAGTAAAATGTATGTAAGTTCAGCAAGTATCACTTTATAAAAGTGATGATATAAGTCTCCATGGTTATTTAAGAATGCAAAATGAAGGCAAGAGTCCTTGAAATGATCCTAAAATTACTGTATGCCTTCTGGGGGTTCCTGGAATGGCAAATGTCAATTTGGAGACCAGAGATCTCATTCAATGGCAGCTTCCAGGCCTGGTATGATATAAGAGTAGCTAGGGAGGGATGAGGACACTAGGTAAGGGGGCTGTCACATCTGCTTTTGAGTCAGATTGTGGCTGAGGGGAGTGTGTGGGGGCAGGTGCCCAGCGGGGAACAGCAGTAGTCTAACACAAAGCAGAACCCAGGGTAGGACTGGGATCTGGGCACTGCCTCCAGTAGGATTCTCTCTACACACCTATAGGGAGCCTGCCTCCCCCTACCCATACACACCACTCTGACAAATCCTAAATATCCATCTTCATCTCAGGTGTATTATTTGAGCTTCAAATCCAGCAGTCCATTGAACTCATGTACCTTGATGTCTTAGAGGCACTGCAAATACAACCTGCCAAATGCTAAATGCAGCTGTCAGGAGCTCCCAGCTGCACCATCAGGGTTAACAGGGACATCAGGGTGGGCCCGACGCTGGAGAACTTGAGACATAAAGAGATGCAAAACCTGAACTTTGTTGTGAGTGAAACCACAAGTAAACAAGACAGTTATAATACCTTCATATTTCAAGCCTGTAATACTATCTGAGTATTTGACTTGTTTTCCTGAAAGGTGAATGATTTTGCTGGTGTCTTTTCTTAGTAAATAGCAAACAGAGACTTCAGAATGATTTCACTGAACTCAAGCTGAAATGGGATTCCTCTTCTTAAAAATAACCATGAAGAGTTGCAGGATTTGGTGGGGACCCTGATTCAGGGGTACTGCTGTGTGTTGAGGACATGGCTAGACAGGGAACCAACGTGGGATCTCCAGATTCTCCTCTAGGTACCTTCTGTCTGTAAAATGCTTCCTTTGTCAGACAGCTTGCTAGTCAGGGAGCAAGGGCAGGGAGAAGCTGAGGTCACTAAATGTACCCAGCGGGTGAGCAGAGAGTTCCAAGAACCCTGATCCCTTCAGACTTGTGATAAGAGTCCTGCTGCATTGGCCCTGGATACCCTGAGCTGGCCTTGAGCCCTGGGTGAGAACTCTGTCTCTTTAGCTGACTTTTCCACCTGCCAAAACATCCAGCCTTGCTCTAAAAGATGTCACTGTCTTTATCAAATTTCCCGAATCTCTAATCTTGCCCCTTCCACAAAATAATCTCTGCCTTGGGCTGCCCACAGGCCTTCTGGTGCCTTCCCTTTCTTTGTTCACCTTTTCCCCATGCCCATAGTCAAGCTCCAGGTCAGACCTCCAAGAGCAGTCTGGTGGCACATAGGGAAGGATGGAAGGAAGGAGTCATTTTTGTGGAGGGATCATGAGCAGAACTTTGCCCTTGGGACCACCAAGCCCCAGAGGACAGTGTCCCTTGCCTCTTGCCTGTCAGACTAATGGCTTCCCTAGGTCCCTGTCTGAGAAAAGGTAGTAGCTGGATCCCCAGATTGAAACCAGAGGGCAACGAGTTTATCTGAAGGGGTGGAGGGAGTCTGGTGGTGGGAGGTGGACAATGAGGTAGTTGCAGTGGCCAGTGGGCATGTGTTGTTGCCACCTGTGGCTCCTTAGCAGGTCTTAGCATGCCCAGGGCAGAGGGAAAGGTCCTGTTTCTTGGTGCCTGTGCAACAGTCCATATCTCCATTCTTTGATACAGCTTCTGTGAATGTTTTCTTTCTATGTTTATAGGAAAATGCAGTTTCTATACAATTTGGCCAAGTTTTGAAGTCAGTTTTTCTTCCAAATGCTCAACCATTTTTAATTTTTTTTCTGAAAGTGCTTGTAGAATACATTTTTTACACACAAGTGTGCATGAAATGCACTCTTACACATTCCCTGTAACTTCCATGAACAGAAATAATGCCTATTTCACAGGGAAGCTAATTTTGGGACAGATGCTTCTGGCTCTACTGGGGAGGAGGATGGGCTTTCTGGACATTTGGGGATGTGTAGCTACTGGGGCACACCAGAGAGGATTTCAAGAGAAAGAGACAATGCAGGAAGAGGGAAGGGATGGCACATCACAAAGTCAAATCATTAATTCAAGTGTGGGAAAAGAGGCTGATAAGCACAGATCCGTGTATTTGATAAAAAGCTAAATCTTTGTGTTTTTCTCTTAGATTTTCCTTGTCATCTTCTCTAACCAGACTCTCAACAGATATTTTCTGAGCACCTTCTCTGCATGTCTGCAGCACTGTGCAAAATGCCCTGTCTCTGCATGGACTGCTCTTTCTAATCAAGAGGCATGTGTGGTGAACTTGGGGCAGCTCCTGGAAGGTTTATCCTTTGACCATCATGTCTGCAGCTGCATCACCAGATAATGCGCCTCACCATTCATCTGTTTCCTGTATTCTTCTATGGGGAGTAAATGTCACTCCAGCTGGCTATCTCTCTAAATAGGCACATTTTCAGTGCTCAGAAAAGGACCTGATCTTTGCACCAAGTGCTTTGATAGTTGTCTGCTTGAGTCACTCCCAGTCTCTACCTTGGGCCCTTTCCTTCTAATCCCTATGTTGAAATAGTCATCTTAACCACAGTCATAATCATTTCATACTTGCTAAAAACTTACCTTGCATCAGGAACCATGGAAGGGCTGTGTCAGAGTTGTATAATTTAAGTATCTCAATAATCCTATAAGCTTCCTGACCTTCGGATTTTCAGACGAGAAAACTGAGGTTCCAGAGAAGTCACTAAACCTGTCCAAGGTCAGATGGACTCTGTCTGCCATGTGAAGAGTTCATTCTAGAGCTGGGTCATCACTCTGCTTGCAGTGCTGTGCCCCCTGGCCAGTCCTCCATATCTCCTGAGCTCAGTAAGGTGCTCCTTGCTGCCTGCCAGGATGCTCTGAGCTGCCTCTACCATAGCACTTCCTCCCTGGACTGTAACATTTGTTTACTGCTCTTTCTTTTCATTAAACTGGGAGTTCCTCAAGTACAGGAGTTATGCCTTATTCACTGTATGCTTCCTGATGCCCAGAGCAGTTTCTGGCAAAAACTGTTTGAATGCTGGCTAGGTCTCATGGGCTGCAGTGTGGTAAGCATCCATAAGGCAATGGGAAGGTGAGGTGAAGAATTTCTGATCAAGGATGGAAGATGTGTGGGTTTCTGTTTTCTAGTCCTGAATTAGACAGGGATGAGGAGGAAAATGACACATGCCATCCACCAGAAACTCCTTCTCCCACCTTGGAGAATGAAGAGTACCTTATTGTCAACTCTACATCTGAAGGCCAACTACCCTGTGAAGAATGTTTGGAGGCAGATTCAGAGACCATTCCCTTGCCACAGTTCTGTTCTTTGGGCACTCTCCAAGAGTGTTTGCTTCTGGAAGAGTCATCTAAGAGTGAGAGTGAATGGGAAGACCTGGAGGAGCCTGTGGACCTGGAGAATGGGCACTCTCAGGTGAGTACCACTCTGTTTGGTGGACCAAGGCTGAGCTCTTCCAGTGGGGCTCAGTGTTGTCCAATTACTTATGCTGGGGGACTGTCTGTGGGCATGATAGAGTTCCCCTGTACCTCTGTGAGAGTCATGCATCATCATGGTGGGCATTTTCACTGAACACTTACAAAGGTCCTTGTTTCATAGTGATGACCTTACAAAGTGATGACTGTCATCACCTCCATTATGCACATGACACATTTGGGTCTTTCTCAGGGTCACCCAATGAGAAAAATGACAGAATCAGAATTCAACCCCTGATTGGTCCCTCACACCATGGTCCACTTGTTAAGCACCCATCTGTGCTACTGCCTGCATGTGGGTGAGTGCATGTCTTTCCTAGGGTCTCTCTCTTTTGGGGTGCTGCGTGTCAAGTGCTGATTCCTGTTTTGTCTGCTTCTGCCTGCCCTTGGGCTAGATGTATTTCAGATTAGGTTCTTGGTGTCATGTCATGGGGCCCTTATTGTTGAGCCATAGTGGCTGAATATAGACCAGAATCAGGAAAGTCAAACTGCTAACAAAAGGAGGAGACTGGGGTTAGAGCACATTGATGAAGACACAGGAGAAGTAAGTGCAACAGAAATGGTCACATAAGAGAAAAGGAGGGCGAATTCTTGACAAGTCCATAACCACCCAACTTTCTGTTAAAGTACCTATAATGTATGTAAAAAATGTGAATATTCCAGAAACTTTCACATAAACACATTTTCAAGATACATTGAAACTTACTGAGACATCGGTTTGTGAAGATCCTGATATAATTAAAACACACTTCTTCACTTTCATCCCATTGTGTCCTCGCTCCATTTTCCTGGTTGTATGTAAGGAAGTTCAGTCACCACAAATGATTGAACTGGATTCTCAGAGGACAGTGGCAGGCAAGCTGATAAGGAGAGTGGATATTTGAAATTCAAATATGACAAAGGGCTGGTACTTATCTGAAATAGGAAGCAACAAGCTAATAGAGTGGATGATTCAGAGGCTTTGAAGACTGCACAGCCATTTATGGGGACGGTGCACACTCTGACAATGTTGGGAATGCCTATTTTAGATTCACAAAAGCATGGAGCAAACAGAGAGCTGCTTATATGCGGTGAAAAATCTTCCAGGAGGGGGCGTCTCAGGGCTGGGAAGCTGAAAGAAGGCTGAGCAATCTACAGGGGACCACAGGGAAGCATCTAAGGACCACAAGGGTCACTGCTTATGAAATGTCCATAGAGACCTGCATCACCTCTGAGCCAGGCAGCAGAAGGCAGTGCAGTGAAGGTGGGACAATGTGGTTGGAGGGGCTCAGGCTTGCAGATTAGTGAGGGTGGGGTGTTATGGTTGGAGGGGCTCAGGTTGGCAAAGCAGCAGGCGTGGGGCTATGTGGTTGGAGGAGCTCAGGCTTGAAGCCTGGCCCCACCACTCTTTAGCTGGGAGACCTGCAGCAAATGACTTCTAAACTGTCTAAAATGCAGCTGACTGCCAAGTGGAGATAAGCAAATCCACCTCATGCTCTTATCGTAAGAGTTAGATGCCAACACATGCAAGTGTTTAGTAGTAAGCACTTGCAAAGTGTTAGCTATTTTTATCACCAATCATAAAGGGAGAAATTAATTCAGGGAAATGATACAACCTTTCTACTGCATTCAATCCTGTTGGGTTTTTCCATGTAGACAAAGAAACTAGGCAGTTGGACTTGCTTGCTAACATGAGGTATAGAGTGGGAGAAGTACTCACTATGGCAAGGGTGCTAGAATCTAGGTGCACTGCTTAGCTCTCATCTATGGACGATGGCTTGGGATGTAGTTAGGGTGAATTCTGTCACAATCACTTATCTTGCACAAAAATGAGAGCAGGTCTCACTCCCACTGCAGTCAGAGGGTGGTTGTGCATGCATGAGTGCTCAAGGTGTGAGTTCTTAGTGTCACTCCAGGTAGCATCTTAGAGATGTGGCTTCCAGCATCCAGAAATCCTGCATCTAGAATGTTGACTTGTGTACTTCTTCCAGAAAAATCAGCTTTAAACATGCTTTAAAGTCTCCAAAGGTTTATAACCCCATCAGGTGAAGTACATACTTGATCTCATTTGTTCTGGAAGAGGGAAGTCTCGGGGGAAATAAAGAGGACTTTGCTTATAGATGGTGTAGTGCATCCTTTAAACCTATGTCACACATTATTTTGTTTGGTCCTTTCAGACATGAAGGCAGCAATAGAACATAGGTAGTTTCTATAAGTGATGCACTTTAATCATCACGTCAACTTTGAATGGTATTATTATTTTTATTTTATAAATGAGCTTAGCAGGTTTAATTTGTCCAAGATCATACAGCTAGGAGGGGTGGATTCACACTACTTCTGATTCTACTTTAAGTACCCTTTTTTCTGAGTTGGAGTCTCATTCTGTTGCCCAGGCTGGAGTGCAGTGGCACACTCATGGCCACCCCAGCATCGACCTGCTGGGCTCCGGCAATCCTTCTACCTCAACTTTCCAAGTAGCTGGAACTACAGGCACACACTACCACACCCGGCTAATTTTTAAAAATTTATTTATTGTAGAGACGAGGTCTTACCAAGCTACCCAGGCTGGTCTCAAACCCGCGGGCTCAGGCAATCTACTAGCCTCAGCCTCCCAAAGTGCTGGGATTACAGGCTGAACCACTGAGCCTGGCCTAGGTACCTTTTTACATTTCCCCTAGAATGTGTCTTTCCATGTGAATTTGTATAACACATGCTTTTTCATCAAGTGGCATGAGTCCTACTTTTTCCTCACAAACTAATTCTCTTTTATGTGCCTAAAAAAATACCCCATTGTCCAGTGGAATTAAAGAGGGGATTGAGCTATAGTGTTTAGGGAAAGCTGCTGGCCAAATGGTCTATTAACAACTGCTTATTGTTTCAGGTGAACACTGAGAACAAGACAGTCTCCCATGGCAGAGGCTGAGGGTTTCGGCATGGACGTCCTTTTGACGGAAGAGCCTTCAGATGACCTTGGTCTAGAGAATATACACACCATCTCTGCCACTGGGGAAGAAACCTGTGGGCCCCTGGAAGGTGACTGTAGATGAATGACCTGCCCCAGTTTTAAGAGCTAACTTCAAGAAGATCAAGTCTGTCATTTCTGAGACTCATTTTGAATAGTGGCCATGACCTCTCTTCAGTTCTGGGATCTACATCCAGCAAAGCTTTGTGTATGTGTGTGTATGTGAGAGGGGGTTGGATTCTCTTTGTGAAAGGAGTTGAGAACCAACCTTCTCCACCAGAATATACCAGGACAGGGAGAGTTTTACTGCTGCACTGGTACACACTTTCCAGGATGGATGCAGTTTTCTTGTTCACACTTCGTAGTTCCCCATTGAACAAAGGAGTTTCTATGGTTATAAAAGAGCCTGCAGGTCCTGAGAAGGACTCTGTTAAAGAGCTTGGCTCCAGGGCCATGGGGGACATACGTTGTTTTGATATCTTTCTGTATCCTTCCTATACAACACCACATGGTTATAGATTTGTTTAAAAGGGCTTTCATTTTGGACTTAACACCTGATTCTAAAGAACGTAGGAAGGAAAAATAAGATGTGGATATCTAGTAAAGAAAGAAGAATAAAGTGGTAGATCCAGCATCACCAGATAGTAGGACATACAGGCACCACCATAATAACAACAACAAAGAACTAAAATCACATGGGATTAGCAAATGCATAAAAGCAACAGACCTGGTGGACCACAGCTCAAGTCCAGGAACATATTCAGCATGGGGGACATGTGACAGAGTCAGGGTCTCAGTGTGGGGGAAGGGAGGACAATTTCACAGATAAAACTGAAAGAGCTGGAAAAAATGATTTTGATTCAAAGCTCGTTTCATTTACTAAAATTGCACACACAAAAAACTATATATCAGAGTAAAACAGGAAGAAAACAAGTTCTAGTTTTATCAGATCTACAGAATGATAACTTCCTCTGGCTTGCTGCAATAGACAAAAAGCATAACAAAAAAACTACAAAGCTGACAATATTGAAAAAGTTTAAACTTCTGTAAAATAATAATGACAAAACCAATATAAAGAAAGTAGCAGTGATTGGGAAAGCATTTACACAATTGTGAATAAAGATTAAGATCTATAATATGCCAAAAGCCCATTATAATTTATAATAGATCAATAAAGGATTTAAATAGACAATGTATACAATAAAAATACAAATGGTAAACAAACACATAGAAAATATTCTTATCAAAACAGTGTCAATATGCTGGTTTGTATTCACTGCATTCACAAAGTTTTTGAAAACCTATTCAATG